GGATCAGATAGCTCGACCATGGAACGCTGAAAAGCTAAAAAAGTACTACAGTTAAACATTGCCCGCGAGAACCTTCCTCGCGACCACAGGATCGCGGCATGGTACGACCGCGTCTCCCCAAGATCAACGAGATAGCAAGCACCTACCCTTTGTGTGTGTGCGGGCAGGAAGCTCTGCTCGACGGCGACCACTCGACCGAGAATCGCCGTCGTAGTACCAAGTCCGGCAGAATCCCAGCTCGTGATGGGACGTTCACGCTGCGGGGGCTGGTCCACGATCGTGGTCCACCCCCGTAATTGACCAGGTAACCACCCTGGTCAACCGGCCAGTTCCCTACACTCCTGGGCACAACGAATGTCGAGCTATGACTCCCAACTTAGTAAAAACATACATTAAGCATAAAGAAATGCACGAGAAAGCATAACAGTGCAAACATAAATATAAACCATGCAAATATAGTCGAGCACACACACATACTTAAAAAATAAAACAAGAAATCCGTAAACGGGTACTAACCCAGAAGTCAAATCGTTACAATATACGAGCACAGGCCCCGAATCAAATAAAACATGGCGCGCAGGCCAAAATGAAAAATAAAGGGGCACACAGGCCACCATCCCTATTCTACAGGTTCCTCCTCCTTACGGACAACCTGGTTGTCTTCCTCGTCATTCGAGCCCTCGGGCGCCACTATTCCTCCGTCTTGGATCTGATGAAAGGGACCAATCTCGTCGGTCACCAGGTCAGAATTAACGAGCTTAAGTTGGTCGACAACATGCTTAAAGCCCACTTCGACGGACCACAAGCAGTCCTCCTCGAGCTGACGAACCTTGGTCGCGAACCCTTTCCTAGACGAAACCAACCGCTCTTCTTCCATTTCATCCTCGGCAGGGGCGACCTGATCCTTGAGCTCAGCGATATGACCGTTGGCCCCCTTCAGCTCTTCATCCCTTTCCTTCAGGGCCTTCTCTAGCTCCTCAATGTGTCCCCGATGGAGCATGTCCTGCCTTTGATACTCCTTTTGGTCGGCCACTAGCTTGGCCCTAACCTCCTCGGACACCGCGAGGTCGCTGTTAACAGCAGCTAGGTCCTCCGAGGAGCACCCCGCCTCATTCAGCACATGGGCCGTCTCGAAGACCCTCACCATCACCGCCAGATCTGCGAACATCATCTTCCTCCGAGCCTCCTTGTCCACAGACAGTATGCTTTTGGCTTCCTCGGGCGCCACAGCAGGATCGTTCCGCCCTAAAAAGAAATTCGGCCGAAGACAGCAAGGGGGCATGACGAACCCGCTCTCCGGGGACCCGTCCGTCAGATCAATTCGAGGCACCTCCTCCTCCCGTTGCCGTTTGTGAACCAGGGGCTGCACCAGGGACCCACTTTCCTTAGGAGATGATGTCGTTCCTGAAGAGCCACCGGCCAACTCCCTCCGTGCAGCAGGGGCCCGACCTTGAGCACGGCGGTTTCCCCTGTTCATCAACTTCGTCACCCTTTCCTCCACGGAACCCATTGAGCCTGCAAAACAAACACAAGAGAAACGGTTAGAAGCAAAATCTAGACAAGTATCAAAAGCAGTCCGGAGGCACTCAAACTACCTAGGAACCGATGAGCCTCAACTTCCGTCCTGCATTCGAGCAGAGCCTTTACATTAATATATTGGGCCTCTGTCAGTATTTGACCATCTTCGTCGTGGATATACTCCCCATCAGGGGACACATAGTTCCGAGGAGGAAGGCGACCGACGAAGTCCACCAACCTCCGGAAGGCCAGACTGTCCTTCTCGCCCAGCCTACCATGCCTGAAGATGTAGCTGTCGGTGGCTGAACGAAAATGATGATCCCCCCAGTCCAAGGGGAAATAAGACTTATAGTTGTCCTCGAAACGCCCCTCCACGACCACCACTTCCTTGCAAAAAATCATCTCGTACGCGTCGTTCGTGGCCGACATGACAACGAACCAACGATGTTTAAAGCCCCGAACAGAGTCAGTATACGAGCGAAAGAGCCTGGGCGCCTGCTTCAGTGAAACCAGCCGTCGTCTGACGTTGCAAATGGAAGACCCAGAAGAATAGGGGAATGGTGGCTCCAAGCTCCAAATAGTTACACACGATCTCGAACGCACAGAGGAAAGCCAATGAGTTTGGGTGAAGCTGGGAAGGCGCCAGCATTAGGTGGTCGAAAACCCCTTGCTGGAAGCCGGTGAAGGGCAGTCGCATGCCCACCTCTTTGAAGGAGAACTCATACATGGGGAACCGGCCACCCTCATAACGCGAGCATATACGATCGACCTACCGAGGCCGAAAAGCACAGAATTGACGGGGGCTCCTGGCCACCCTATCCTCTATCACAGCGAACACGTCCGAATCGTCGAGGATGAACCTCAACATATAATTTAAGGGTTCCTCCCCGACCCATTCTTCCAAAGGCCTCTCCGGAGGATCCAGGTCGACCTCCTCCTCACGACCTTCCTCGTCCGCCAACAAGTACCACTCCACGTCTTCCTCGTCGCGACCATCCATTATACCTGAAAAGCAGAGGAACTCGGTGAATTCGACAGCCAAATCAAATCCACCTTTCCACCGCAGTTCAAGTGAAAGGGTGTGGTCGCCTAACCGCCCGTGTGACGAGCGAGGGAGCGACTTTATCCCCCGAGGAGAACCGGTGGGTAGATCCTTTGTCCTCGGCGTACACATCCACTCGTGCCCAGGGCATTCATCCCATTATCCTCAGAGCATTCAAAGTTCTTCCAAATCCTCCTCGGGGCAATCATCGCAAGAGCCAGGGACGGTCATTTTCTACCCTAATTTTGAAGGATCCTCCAGCATATTCGCCGGACAAACCCACGGCATTCCCAGCGCCCCTAGCGGAGCCGCCGGAAACACCGCCACAAACAACAAAAAACGCCAAGAAAGGTACATAAACTTACGTGATAGGAGTGCAGAAAAGTTGTTGTCGGGCAAAAAAATCCCAGGTGTCGAGCAGAAGCGATAGAAGATGTCGGGAAGAAAATTTCGGGCGTTGAGCGGCTGCAAAAAGCGAATGAGCGAAAAGACGAGCCAAGTATACGCATATATACCCCTAGCACGGGAAGCGAAGCGTCGCTAGGCATTCAAGTGCATAGGCCGTAGCCGTCACAGGGAGACACGTGGCGACCCTCCATCTTCCTTGCGTCTCTTTAACTTCTCCCCTTGACCGCGGACACCTCCTCGACGTAAGCTCACCTGGCCGCCACGATCTCAACCTGCCCAACTGATGCATGTCTGACAGATCACGCGTTCGACGCCATTCCTTGCTCAAGTCATAGCTCGCACGACCGCGAACAATGACTTGGGGGGCTACTGTTCCAGACTGGACCAACGCTTAGCCAACGACTAACAGGCCCAAGCCCCAATGAGGTTGGGCCCCAGAATACCACGCTAACGGGCAAGATCCCCGCCGAGCACAACATCTCCCCGTCAGGCATAGACCAACATCTGTCGAGCAGGACCATCGCTTCCGACCAGCCAGCCTCCCTCTTCTCCATCGTCAGGCAGGACCCTCGCATCCGACCAGCCACCTTTGTCTGCCCGGGGGGACTCCTCAAGCCTTTCCCCACATTCTCCACGTGTCCCTCACGCAGGGACACGTCATGACGTAACTACCCACTTCCTGGAGATTCGGTCTCCCTCCTCCCGGATAGTGCGAAACAGTTACCCTAGGGCGAAGACCACGTCCTGGTCTTCACGACGCCACGTCAGCCCTAACAGTTACTAACATTGGGTCTGACAGCCCAGCCCAGTGTTAGGTAACCGTTGGCCTTGCGCTGGAGGCTCACTATAAATACCCTCTTCACTAAAGGGTCAGGTAACTTAACTTCTTACTCTCTCTCTCTGTGCTTGCTTCCACTCTGCCCGTCACTTACTTTGGCACGGAGTGTGTTTCAGGTACACCCCCTCCTCCTCAATACTTTCGGTGAGCAGTTAGCAGATCAACGACGCGTGGTAGATCATAGCTCCCCTCCTGGTCAGGTACGATCAGAAAGAAACAATTCTACCTTTAATTCTATTATCTGTAATGTTGATAATGTTTGTTGGTACATCAAATTTTTTGTTTGGAAATGAGGGTTGTATTGGAGAGATTTCCTATTCCAACTCTCCTTATCATGCATTTTGTATGAAACCTTTTTAGATTGTCCTTAATAGTGTTGGTGGGGAATTTCTTTTATCCTAGTTTGTAAGGGTTAAAATACCCTTTGTATTCTATTTTCTTAATTCAATTGCTTTTTTTTTTCTAAAGTAAACTCCACAACCAATATTATTGTGTTATACTGTAGATTTCCGATTTCAACCAATTCCAAGATAATACTTGAATGGATTTAAATTGAAATTGTAAATAAAATACTTTCCTTTTAATAATTTAAGCATTGTCAAATATTTTAGAGTTTTTAATATTCAGCTTATTTAATTTATATTAGAGTTTACATAAAATTGATGAAAATTCAAATATAAAAAAAAAAAATCAGAAATTTTATTTAAAAAATATACATTTTTGTAATGTGTTTTTTAAATTCGATGATCAATTTATAGATCAATCTAGTGTTATTTCTCGGCAACACTTTCCTATATTGTTTTTTAACTTCTAAATACTTCATATGAAAACAAAACCACAATACCTTTATTCTAGTAGTGAAAGTTCTTCTGCCTCTCACCAAACCTTCGAATTGGTTAAAATGCAACAAGCCTTAAATTCAAAAAATTGAAAGGACCTCAATAAATTTGCAGACCGCATACCAAACCTTGCAAAAATGAGGCACTGAAAATAAAAGAGAAACAAGATTCTCAACAGTGGCAGTTCCATTGTCTTGAACAGTCACTTGGCCTTTTAACTATATGATTAGTGCCAACCTATCAGTCTTGCCAAAACTTGAAAGTAAAGTATCAAAGTTGACTGGTAGTTTTGATTTCTAAACTCTTGTATCTTTTTTTCATCCTTAAACTTCATTTTGCTTCTCTCTTCTTCAACATGGAGCAATCCTTCAAACATCCCAAACTCAACAATGCAAATTCACCATACACTTCTCAAGTTTCTCACCATGTTTTCCATTCAGATAAACTTCCATACTTTGAAACTCTTTTGAGTGGAAAACAACATGTATTGGTTGAAAATGAAGTGGAACACATCAAAGAAAAAGTTGAAAGAGAACAAAAAAATGGATTCATGTTAAAGGCTTTTGAATCCTTCACTACAGTGAAAGACTCCTTATCAAGAGTAATAGAGGGATTAGAGGGTGAAAAAGATGAATCTTTTGTTAGAGAAATAGTCTGTATGAAATCAGAATCAGTTGACGATTCAACGTTGTTGTTAGAAGAAGCAAGGTTGATTTCAAGGCTTGCAGTTGAAGTGGAAACAAAGGTGGAAAACTATAAGGAGTTGAGGAAAAAGGAAAAGAGAGAGTTGGAGAGTAGTTTGATTAGTTTAACTGAAGAGAATAGGGATATGAATAACTTGCTAAGGGTTGCTTTGTTGGAGAAAGAAGCCTTAGAGAAGAGAATTAAGGGACATGATCATAAAAGAATGCCACTTTTGCAGTTTGGATTGCAGAAAGTTGGGTTTGGATTCATGATGGGAGGAAGTAGTAATCATGAGCAACCAATGGATAGTACTTCTGAGGGTAACATATCAGATAGTAGTGACTCCGAAGTTGAAGTTGTTAATCTGGTAAATTCTTATCTCTGTAACACCAACACTTCTGAAGAAAAAAAAGTGTATATCTGTGATTACGCTTGAAATTTGTGGTAATTATTTTGCAAGGTCTCGACGGTGGAAAGGATAATGAAGAATCTACGTCTGGAAATCGCTCAATCGAGAAGATCTTTGGAAGAATCGAGGTATTTTTACCGTATAATTATGTATAATCTCCTTCGTCTAGTTTGGTTTTGGATTATATATTATGAACTTCATGGCAGGTCAGACACGGAGCGACTCCAGTGTCTCGCGGAGAGACAAAATAAAGAGATTGCAGAAAATAAACTCTACATCAAGGAGTTGGAAGATAGAGAGAGAATCTTGGCTCACAATGTAACCCACCTTTGATCAATAAATGTGATAATCATTCTCTAACAAAGCCTCTCATTCTCATTAGCTTTTTTCCTTTCTGTCATACTGTAAAAGGTTGAGGAGTTTTTGATGGAAATCAAAGAAGCAGAAGAAGAAGTAGCTAGATGGAAGGAAGCTTGTGAATTGGAAGTTAAAGCAGGAAAGAAGGAAGTTGAAGAACGCGACAAAATGGTAAACCAAAACCAACATTTTTTTCTAATTTTTCGTCGTTATTTCAACTTTTTCTAGTATATATAGTCTATATCTTAATTGATGCTGTTTGAATGTTCCATGAGGTGGCTGCATTAAAACAAGAACTACAGAAAACAAAGGCCGCATTGGACATATCGAATGGAAAACTGAGGCTTAAAGAAGAACTTGCAGTGGCTGCAATAGCAGCACAGGAAGCAGCAGAGAGGTCTTTGCAGCTAGCTGATAGTAGAGGAGTTGAGCTTCGTCGGCGGATTGAGGAACTAACTCGACAAGTAGAGGAAGCAGAGAAGCGCGAACGGAGTAGTCGTAAAGTGAGACGTTTCTGTTGGCCATGGCAAGTTTTTAGATTGAGTTCTAGCAATATTGCTGACTCTAGAATTGGAAATAGTAAAAGGATGCTACCAGAAATGCAATCTTTTCTTCGATGAAATGTATCTAACATGATTTTCCAAAACAGAAGAGTGAATTGAATGATTGGTAGTAATGTTGTAAAAGTGGGATATTTTTATTGTAAGTTTCTCTTCTCTTACACCAGAAATTGGGATATATTTATAACTAAAAAATTTTATAAAAAAAAGTAATAAAAATACCGAAACAAAAAAATAAAAGAAAAAGCGAGTTTATTGACAACTAGTCATCGTCTTCCCCCTTTAGCGGAATTAGGGTTTGCAGAGTTACTCTTTCCCTTCTTCTCCAATCTCAGCTTCTTCATTTTCTGCTAACAACGCCTCATAGGTTCGTTTCTACAATTCAAAACTTTCAAATATATTAATCGAACCGTGCTGAGCCTCGTTACGGTACAACTTTTTTCGCTAATTAATTTCTATCGATTGCAATTAATTAGCATAAAAAATCAATTTTTTTTCACTGCACACCACTTTGATGCATCATTGCCACTGATATATCCTAAATTTTCTATCTCAATCAATGCATTCTATGATTTTTTCAAAATTGTTATTTTGCTGTGATTTTATTATTTTGATTGACTCCGTTGCAATTTGATTGAAAGTGCAGAGTTTTTTTCATTGTAACTAAATTGGAACTTATGGGTCATAAAGAAGAGAATACTAGCAATGTGAAGAAAATAAACTCATCATGTGATGTTGAGGCTTTGAAAAAGTGCTTGGAAGAGAACAAAGGGGACTATGTTAAATGCCAGTCTCAAATTGAAGCTTTTAAATTATCATGCTCAGTGAAGAAACCAAATTCTTCTCTTGAATCTTCACCACCACTCAAGACAGGTGTTTGATTGACATTGTGGTATTATCATGGCTTTGATTTTGAATTGTGATTTTTTTAGCATTGAAATTTGAAAGGAACTAAAAAGAAATGACATTGTGTTAGTTATTTAATAGTTTGTATTATTTCCTCTTTTAGTTTTCTTTATACATTATTGTGTTTTTCTTGGCCTTTTTTATCTGCATTTTGAAGATCCTAGCTTGGGATTCAGTGTTACTGTTGTTTAACTATTACAAAGAATGAATATAAGTTATATATAAAGGGTAAAGCATCAAAGCATATTGTTGTGGGCAGTGTGCATGTATTATAGGTCTGTTATTTGGTACCAATAGTTGAGAGATGAATGCCGGAAAGTTTTGAGGACAAATCCTTGCATTTACGCCTCTTGTAGGGCAAGACATCTTTAAGAAAGGGATACAACACATGCTCCAAAATTTATCACGATCAAATTGTTGTTAAAGAGAGCATCACAAATGGCTCTGAATAGAGTCTCTGTAATTCCCCCATGATTGAACCTTGGATAATCTACATATTGTCTATAAAAATTTAAGACAGTCATGTTGTAGGGTGGAGTGGTTTTCTCACCTTTCTTGCACTAGTTCAACCAAACATGTCTCCTTGATTGTTCCTTGTTAGTTTTGTTACAAAATGAATCCTCCTACCTCCATAACTGAATTACTATGCAGCCGAATGTAGAGGATCGAAGTCCTGAAACAAAACAAAACACAGAATAGACTTGAAACTAAAAAAGAAATAGAGAAAAAACTAAATCCAAAAAATGGCGTCAGAGGGCGATTGGTAAGAACTTTTTGGAAGACTTTATTATTCTCCTCGGTCCATATTACAACTTGCAAGTTGTTTGCATGTTTACACAAGTCCTTTCCATTTAAGAGATGGGAAAAATGACTTTTACCATTTTTTTTTGTTGCTTAATTCACATCGAGAACATTTAGAGAAAAATATTTGTATTCTTATTTAGTTAAGAAATGAGAACATGACCGTAAAAAAAAATGAGAACATGAAATAGTTTTTATTTGTTTTGTTTTATTTTATTCTAAAAATGCTTATTTAATTTCATTAGCAATCAAAGCAGGAGGAACCTTAAAGAAGTTATGAGGACCGGTATGTAATACGAATGCGTAAAAATAAATCATGAGACACCTCTATATTGTACTATGTAATAAGAATGTGTACAAATAAATTATGAAAATGAATTTAATTGAAATACAGTGATAGCGTAAAAGAATTTTACATTTTCAGTTAATCATAAACATTGGATATAAAAAGAAGTTTAATTTTTATTTTAATAATCTGTCAAGTAATGCACACGGATGATGTTGATGAATTGACAGTGTAACACTGTCAGTGCATAATAAAAAATTTCTTATGAAAACACCTTTATATGATATGTAATGGGGTGTAAAAATAGCTCATGAAACAGCTCTATAAGGTATGAGAGCAATCTTCGGTGTAGTATAGTGAGAGTGTCATAGAAAATTTTTATATATTTAAATTTAGAATTACTTTTCCCATTTTTAGGGTGATTTTCCAATAAGGTGAAAAGTCATGAGTGCCTATAGAATTTAGAAATGTATCTTCGAATATATTTTTTTAACACACTCTTTAGCATAAATTGGTATAACACCTTTATTTTATCAAAAATTTAGTTAGAGATGTATCTCCGTATTAACATTAGAGTGAGTTTGGAGACACATTTATGTAATAACCTTTAATTTAAAATTTGGTGAATTTTAAGTAAATGCGTCTTTGGATTGGATGCATTCCATTCATATATATGTGTCAGACCTTTTCCCCTTCATTCTTCATCTATTACGAAGTCACTAAAATCCCCCTTAAGCTCATGAGTTGGTTTCTTCAAGTCCATTTATAAAGGTTCAACATTACTATTGTTTCACTACATTCAATCCCAGATCATTTCACTAACTCCATTCAAGTTTTTCATTCACAACTGTCATTCGGTAAAGTTCTCATTTCATTTCTTTTATTGAGATTTCATGAATGTATTAGGTAAAGTAGGTTGTTTAAAATACATTAGATAATAGTTATATTCGAAATAGGTAACTAGTATAGACACGCATTCTCATTTGGTTGGAATTTAGGGCATCAATGGGGTTTCTGCCATTTCTGTAACTCGCAAGTTTATTCGGAGATGTATCTTTGAATTTGGACAAATTGTATTTTGATGTGATTTTTTAGTTTTATTATAGGTACAATGGCTGAAAACAACTAGGACAAATTGAGGTTCGAACATGTGTCCCAACACGAGTGTGTACGGCGGAGAGGGCCAAGGTCAGGCCCACGAGGTCACGAGTTGATGCTACCTTGTTTGATGAGGAGGCGTCGTCTCAAGGTCAAGGTTCACAACCATCTACTTCTTGAAGTCGTTTGTCTCAATCATCTACTTCATGGGGCCACATGTCATATGCTTATGAAGCCCCTGAACCTTATGAAACCAATTAAGAGAAACCGTTAATGATGTGGATGCCCCTGTAGATAGTTATCCAGGAGGCCCATATGACACCTCCTTACTTCATTTTTATGGAGAGCGTGTTGCTAGGCATGTCTGAGAAAGAGAGGTATATTTATTTACTTTTGTATTATCTGGTTTATACTAATTTAATCGTAATTAATGGTGATATATTTATTTTTATAAGAGCGGCCATGTTTAAAATTCGTAAACCACAGAAGGAAGAATTTGGGTATGGAATAGGCGTGTGTTTTGGGGTTGGAGAGAGAGTGATAAAATTCTGATTTTGTGGTGGCTAGGGTTCCGAGTATTGGTATCAAGAGATAACTATTTATAAGGGGAAGGGGTTTAAATGTTTGACCAACGAATCAAATAAAAAAATTGAAAAATTAAAGAGCAGCAATCAATTGTGGTGATATTGCAATCGATTATAATTTTAAAATTGTTTAAATTTTAAACAGTGTCAACCGATTGACACATAATTGCAATCGATTGACTGAAACATGTGCTAGCTACTGGCTTTAACAAAATTATACTTTCCATACAAATTAATTGATTAATTATTTTGTGCAATTAATTGTTATGAAAGCTTTTTAGGCAACAATTGATTATAATTACCATTTGTTGTGAATCGGATATCTTTAAACAAAGTATAAACAGTTTCTTAATGATCAAGAAACTCACAAGGGTTAGGGTTAGCAAAGAAGACAAGGTAAAATAACAAGGAACAACAAGGATTGGTTATTAAACTGCTATTCTTTCCTTTCTCTTAGAACAAGATTACAAGTATACAAGAATAACAAAATAACCTCTCTCCCTTGAAATTAGGATTTTATCTTCCTATTTTTCCTTATCTCAAAATTGAGAAACTAGTATCCTATTTATAAGACAAATAGCACACTAACCTAATGGGCTTTTTAACAATTACCCATTACAAGCCAACTTAGGGTACAAGCTAACTTAATCAATTGGGCTTACAAGCAAGACCCAATTCAACATGCTAACAACCTTAGCAATATTGACTAATGCATGTTTGAACAAACTTCGACTACAACACGCATTACTCACGAACAGACTTCGACTATACTAGAGTTTGATCCAACATCTCACAAATCTCCACCTTGGATCTAACTCTATAACATCAAGAAACTAGCTTTCTTCATGCAGCTTTATTAACTGCATACAGTGGAAAAACTTGCAACTGGGCAACGTCTTGGTGATCATATCAGTAGCATTATGATCTGTCGAAACCTTCAGCACTTGGACTTCTCCACGCTCGATTACCCCTCTGATGAAATGCAGCCTCACATCAATGTGCTTGGTTCGCTCATGATAGGCTGAATTCTTCGACATGTGTATTGCACTTTGACTATCACATTTAACAGTGATAACTCGACCTTGAAGTTTTAGCTCCTTTGCAAAACCTTCAAGCCACAATGCTTCATTCACAGCTTCAGTTAGGGCAATATACTCCGCTTCAGTGGTTGATAAGGCAACGACCTTCTGAAGTGTTGCTTTCCAACTGATTGTTGTCCCAAACATAGTGAACACATATCCAGAGATAGATTTTTTGGAATCCATACAACCTGCATAATCAGAGTCGACATATCCTTCGATTGCTGCTTTACTATCTTCACCCAAGGTTCCACCATAAATTAGAACTCTATTCAGAGACCCATTTATGTACCTTAAAATCCACTTACGGCTGACTAAACTAGCTCTAGTAGGTTTCTTGGTCAGTTCCTAGGTGTTGTTATCATGAAGAGATTTCATCTCATCATCCATGGCCTTCAGCCATTCAGTCTTATTTCGACTCCTCATAACTTCCTTATAGTCTCTAGGTTCTTCGTCTAGAACCCCACTTGCAGAGATTAAGGCATAAGCTATAAGATCTGCATACCCAAGTCTCTGAGGTGGATTGATGACTCTCCTCGAGTCGCCACTTGAAACCACAAGAACAACAGATGAGTCGAAGTCATCTTGAACAATAGCTGCATTGCCATTACCTCCATGATCTTTCAGGTGTTCAGGGCACACCTTTCTTATGTGACCCTCCTTCTTACAGTGATAACATCGAATACTAGATGTTCGCCACTATAAGACTTCTGTTGACTTTTACCTTTCTTCATGTCGAACTTACCATCCTTTCGCAAGAATTTTCCCTTAACGGCCAAACCTTCGCCCACCGTCGAAGGTTTATGCTCCTTTCGTTCGTTCAAGTCCTTAGAATACAAGGCTGATTGAACTTCTTCAAAGGTCATGGACTCCCTTCCATATAAGAGAGTTTCTTTGAAGTGAGCATGTGTTCTGGGCAAAGCACACAGCAGCAACAGTGCTTGATCTTCATCATCGATCTTCACATCAATATTTTCAAGATCAAGAATCAGCTTGTTGAACATATCCAATTGCTCAGCCAACACTTTGTCTTCACTCATCTTGAATGAATATAAAGCTTGCTTCAGGTATAGTCAATTCACCAGAGATTTGGTCATGTACAAACTTTCAAGTTTCACCCATAATCC